CTTATGTTTTTATGTATCTATGAATGCAGCATTGACAATAAAACTAGAAACTAATATTCTTATCCTTACATGTACATATATATATATGCTCTCTGCCTCATGGCATTCATTCACCTGATGAAGGAGTAATTATATAAGCATATACTCAGAAACGTTGTGTTCCTCATAATAAAGAAGTTGACATCCATATATTCTCTTCCTTATGTGTATCACTTCTAAATGCCTTTCAAAGACCCGACAGAAACTTTCAGTGTAATATATTACATATCATTTTAAACCTCAATCGGTTTTATACAAAATAGGAATATCGACATATATATCGACTAGAAGTGTTACTTTTGCAATGACGAATATGTAACGTTAGTGCATCACTTCTAAGAATGTCTTGGTTTCATTGTAAAACGTTAGTATGAAACACAAATAGATACACGTGTAGAGGTTTCAAAACAGTCTTTTCTACTTGGAGACCCTGACCCAGCTATCTCCCTTTCCTATCCACATTCTTATCTTTATTATGCCCCAAAGTGAGATTGACCAATGAGAGAGCAGAACTGCTAACCCCGACATGAGCCCGTATACCGTCAGTACAAATCCAAGATGGTTGTTACTGACCTAATATGAGACTGTATACCGTCAGTAACAGCCATCTTGGATTTTTCAACACCCACCTCACATATTTGACATGAGAAATGAAGCTTACAAAGGAGGTCACTGAGTCAAAAATATCAACGTCATAGAACATTATATAGGTTGACGTCACAAACAAGAAACGTGACGCAATGACGTCACATAGCAATAGACTAGATAGCAGCCCGTCGTTAGGGAAAAGCGGACTGCCATCAAGGTACATTGGCCCTCAGATTTCTGATAACATGCGGCATTTTATTGATAATTCTATACATTTCAGCTATAATACTTGTTTAAACGTTCACATTTAGTGCATTATATATTCCATTGTTAACGTTTATGTTTACAATAAACCATTATATCGGAAACATGTGTACTGATCCTGTTGTTCATACGGGTTGTAAGTGGCAAGTTTTCATTTTGACATGACATGTGCGACAAAGATACCAAAAAGTGTAAACTTTTCTGCATAATAAATTCGTTATGGTGTCTTCAGTTGCCGTATACGGTGTCATATAAGGTTAGCAGAAAGTTATTGGCTCAGCTAACGCCTCGCCCTCGCCCTAATATGACACCGTATACGGCAACTAAAGACACCATAACTAATAATCTTACCTTTTATATTGTGCTAAAACGCATACTTCTATTTCAATAATTGAAAATTGCCCACTACCCACTGGTCACGTGGGGATGTGGGGGTTTAGAAATAAATTGTTTAAGTTAGTAAAAATGAAAAAAAAATGAATGAAGAAGACATAGTGTTAGCAGCACCCGATTTGGGTAACACCATGTTCATATGAAACAATCATAAATATCTACTGTTTATCATGTACATTATATTTTATTGATGAATCATCCTGTGCTAAAACATGCAATAACACTGTTAAAAACGGATATTGATATTTTGCAGAGCATGTATGCCCCATGTTCGAATAAATAATCAGACTGATGAATATGTGTACAACAAAGTCCCGTCAATCCGGACTTTTGTTCTGTGTTCGTATGATTGATGAGACTGATGAATATGTGTACAATAATACCCCGTCAATCCGGACTTTTGTTCTGTGTTCGCATGATTGATGAGACTGATGAATATGTGTACAATAATACCCCGTCAATCCGGACTTTTGTTCTGTGTTCGTATGATTGATGAGACTGATGAATATGTGTGCAATAAAACCCCGTTAATCCGGACTATCCGTTCCTACAATTATCCGGATTAAATCATTTCCGGGATATTTGATCCTGAGTACATAACAGCGGCAAATCATTTGCATAATCATGAAATGTTCTTAATGTGCTTATGATGATATCAGTGTTCGCGAAAAGGTGAGCGCATCCTGCATAGGCAAGTCAGTTATTCACCTGCAAAACACAGGAATATATGGTGCAAATCAAAACAGGGAATTACAACAGATCAATTAGAATAAAATTCCTTTGTATGTAAGTTATGCAGAAATACTTACCAGTAATCGTTCTGAGGCAGGAGTCCAGGATAAGACAGGTTGACTTATGGACTTTCAGCGCGACGTTTCGGTACAACCCAGTAAGTACCTTTATAAAAAAGTGATCAACAACTGTGCACGACATGGTTATATCACAAAGATTACATGTACATGTAGGTAAACAGAAAAAAACCAAACAGTGAAGGAAACTGGCAGCAGTTTTTACGTGTTGATGCAAACGAAGCAGAGTACATGTCACAACTGGAAACTGACAAGCAGTATGTTACCACATACGGCTCACAGGTTCTTCATAGGACACCAGCCTACTGGCCCCTTGCAGTCACGAGGAGGCGGATACATGTATGACCTTGCATCTGGCAGATGCAGTGCACCATGGCTACCAGAAGATCCTCCTCAGAACAGCAGATACAGACATTGTTGTCTTAGCAGTGGCAGCAGTAGTCAGGATAGAAGTCCAGGGCCCACTTGCACAAAGCGATCTTAGCGCTAAGATGATTGTAACTCCCATACTTTAACATAGGCTTACGATAGTCTTAGCGCTAAGATCGCTTCGTGCAAATGGGTCCAGGAGGTATGGGTTGCCTTTGGAACCGGTCAGCACTTTCGCTATATACCTGCACACGCGATCTCTGCTTCGATTGGACCTGAGAAATCCAAGGCTCTCGCGCTCTGCCATGCCTACACTGGCTGTGATACTATTTCATCTTTCAGCACGAGGGGAGAAGAAGACTGGGTGTGATACCTGGCAGGATTTTGAGGAGGTCCTAACTTTGTCAGAAGGACCAAATGGTGTATCTGAAGCTCAAGTGTCTGTGATGGAGCGGTTGGTTATCCTGCATTATGACCGCACGAACAGTAGGGAGAACATCAATGATGCTCGACAAGAGTTCTTTGCTAAGAAAGGACGTGCTATGGATGCCATCCCTCCCACTCAGGCAGCACTGTTGCAGGATATCAAGAGGGCTGTGTACCAGTATGGACATTGCTGGGGAAAAACTCTTGAAGTGGCTCCAAGCGATTTGGGATGGGTCGACCCCACTGACTAGGGCTGTAGGGCTGAAGGGTTGTAAAGGACGCTGCAAATGCAAGCAAGCAGGACTGAAATGCACTGCTTTGCGTGACTGCGGTGGTAAGGACTTCAATGTGTAGACCGGAAATCAGACCTATACGTAATGGTCAAGCCTATGCATAAACTGATACAATATAGTAACTATATCAACAGTCAATGATGTGTTCTTAAAGGTCTCTAGGGTAGGGCATAAATATGGCTTAACTCTTTTCTCATTTTGGAACATGAGTGAAGTTTGTAGCTGAGAACCGATTATTTTGACATTTTTGCTGACTCAGCAATAATTCTGACACCCTTACATATCCAGTTTTCAATGTTACCATCCTCTGACATCCTGTGTATCATATTCCGTTAAATTGGCATGTGAAATGTATCTTTGTTACAAGCAAAACCATAATATCTTCTTGTGATAATATTTTCGGGCTGCCAATTTTAAAATGGTTGCCAGGGCTGACACAGACATTACTTTGGATGGCGCCAATTCTGGAATTATTTGTTGGACCATGATCTATAACCCTGCCAAGTTTCGTGCTTTTATGATGAAATGCACAATTGTTTCACACACCTGCAGTGTTAACGCTCTGGATTGGACTATCACACATATAGATAGTCCAATCAGAACGTTTACAAAACCCAAATCCGGTTTCCGACATGGCCGCTGCAGCCATCACGTGTCGAATTTGCGCTGAAATAACAAGTATTATCATAGTATTTCTATATTCTCGCACAAGTTCTGAGTATTACATATTTGAGTGCAAGCTTCATTGTAATTAAACTCGAACGACTCAACGTTAACCACAGTAACTGAGATGCAGTGCTCGGTAGAACGTCCTGTGCTGAGCGTTTTAAGCTTGATGAGGTGCAGTGTTACCAGATATATTGCGAAGTCTGTGAGCATCTTTTATTGTAAGAACGAACTGTGACTCACACAGTAATAAGTATCTTTACTTTGGTAATCTGCCGCTGTCTTTGTCAGGGATGAAATCTCAATTTCTTTCGTAATCTGATCGGCCAGGTCGTCTTGTATGGAAGTCGCCATCTTTGTAAAGCCATTCGAAATATGAACAGCGATCTGATTGGACATTGCACTTTCATTACAAGGGCGCAACTCACGGAGTGGCACTAAAATCGAGCCAAATAAAGTCGGTATGAAAGGGCAAGGGTGAAAGCTAGACTTTGAGATAGGCTAATGGACACGCTTGCCTCGGGAAGATGCTGCAATGCTGGTTCAAATCTTCCCAGACTTTCTTTCTAAAGGTACCGTTTGCTTGAGCTTTGTCGACTCCAAATGAACCGTTAATATCTCTGGTATTGTGGCAATACAATATTATTTTATTCATAAGTTATGATGTTTCAGCTTTGTCCCTTCGCCAAGCCAGGACGCGCTGTCCTAGGTCTGTCGGTACCTTCCCCGTACATTAGGTTTCGCCAAAATGGCAAACGTCACCATTGACGTTGCTTTAAGCTGGCACGCCGTCAGATAGCTGAAATACATCACAAGGCTGACTGTTGACATAAATGTTTTCACTGAAAACATAAAGCCTAATTATGAAAACATCACAGTGATATTAACGCAGCCGACTAGCTATATTTGCTTAGCCCACGTTGTGATAGAATTACGTGTATTATTCAAACATGATAAAAATAAATAAATAACATTCCAGACCCAAATATTGCAATATAAACGGGCTATTTCGTAAAAGGGTCCGCCGAAAGGAAGGACATTGTGCTTTGATGGCGTGGTAATTGTTTCCAGCTCTTTTGCAGGAAAACACCCATGAGCAATCGCCGATCCCATTACCGCTAATTGATATAGTGCAGGCATAGCTCCGCTTCGTTTAGACCCCACGAGACGGTTATTTGTATCCGCTTGTTTAACCAAACAATTACAGTTTCTTAAAAGGGAAATTAGGGTTCTCAACCAATGAACCTGTTTGCGGGAGAAGGAAAGATCCCTCCCAACTCCTTCTGTATTAATAGAATTGTCAGTCCCGATTAGAAATACAATTAGGAAGATTACCAATAGAACTTGCCTTCTGTTGCACCCGTTGTGTTACAACCTCTCGTGAAATCCCGTGAGATTAGACCTTTAATGGCCGACGGTAATGTCACAGTCCTGCAGTCCACGACTGTAGCCGAGCGTGGTATCAAGTGTTATTAGAAGCTCCGTGGTTGTAGCGGGAAGTTGATTTGATAATAGACCTACCACAATAGGAAAGGATTGACACTATTGATCAGGTGAGTCTTTAATGGGAGTCTTAAATACCTGATTTCATTTTGGGATTCAACGCCCTTTAGTGATTTAGCACGATGTGACTTTGACCAAATAACAATCAACTGCTCTGATGGTTCTAAGGAGATGCGTGCATAGAACGGAGTCCTCTGACAAAAAAACCATGTAATAAATCTAACAGCGTAGACTGTAGGGGGTTGCTTGCTGTTTCAACTGTAACGTGAGTATATGTTGTCTGAATCACATGTCGATTTTCGCTTCACCAATTTACATGTACATTTGAATCCACTTAAGCCCTGAGAGGGGTTTGGTGTTGATTTAATTCGGAAAACATGTTTTTAATCTTCTATTTTTTTAAATTATCGATTAAAAGAAGCCGATCTCTCTTGAACATATAACTTACAAGAGCCATCAATGTATTTTCCTTTCCAATTTCCGCCTACAACACGACAGTAGGCAGATTGTATATGTTTATATGGACTACCTGGTTGAACCAAGGTATTAATTGGCACAAACGTGTCTACCGTTGTTGCGAAAAAGCACATTGTTCTAATAAAAATATATTACATACAACTTTTTTTCATACGAATTTCAAATTCACAAAAGGGTTAGGAAATGTAAAATTGACAAGAACAGAAATACTTGTACTTTTGTCTTTCTTACCGCGTACTTTTAATAATTTAGACTAGACTGTCGACAATTGACTAGAACGCAACATATGGGATATGTACAAAACACACAGCTTAACATTATCCCGATATAAATTAGTATTAGGGATTCATCAAAGTGGGGAATACAGTGTGTTGGCCATGTAGCCCATACCTGGTATAAACACAAGCACTAAGGGGAAGTTTATAATCAAGTGAAACATGAGAACGATTGTCACTTGGACATGAACGTATCGTCCTCCCTTCACTATGTAGAAAGCATCAGACTCAAACATATTGCCCCCGAGACCATTTTTCCACGACAATACCTTCACTCGGCAGCAACTCTGCAGCCGTAACCGACATATGGTGGCACATGCAGTGGTGTAGATGACTACAATCGAATACTGATTGATTTCAGGACAATGATGTTTGAATACCTTTACATTCTAACGACATTTAAATAGTTTATTAGATAGTTTTGTTGATGTGGACAAGAAACTTAAGGAGATCAACCGCGGGCAACGTAGAGCTTAATAATAGCTATTTCTGTTCTTCCTTCTGAAGGCGGGGCTTGAGGCACATGTGGCAAGGTGATCTAAATCGTGTCTGTTTCATGTTATCAGGCATGAATGTTATCATGTCACGTGCTGAAAGGTCAAGATGAAGGACCATCCTGTCCAGTAGTGCCAAATTGAACTAATTTGGCATGGTGGGTATTGCAACCTCCTTCATCAATTTCCACGGCAAGCGCTCGTACAATATTCAATGTCCTACAATGTAGCTTGCGCCTATGCATTCGTTGGATTAACGTACGAATTGACTTGGACGTTGACTGAGCATTCATAACACCCATTGGGAAAGGTTTTAACTGGAACCTTGGGAATTAGCGCCAAATAGAAGAGAGTAAAAATACAAGGGGTCTTGTGGAAATAATTGTTGTTATGGTGACGTAATGACTGAAAAAGGAAAGGCTGGTGTTATGTGGGGTGAAATGGGATTTAACGTCGCTTCAAGATTATTGCACTAACATAGCAACGTGCATGCAACTGTGTGTGTGGCTGCTTGTACTAGTCCGGACTGATGCCGATTTATAGTGCTAGCTTACTGAGATACCATGCCGCAGTTTAACATGAATACCCCACTTAGACACAGTATACTGACTCCGAGCCGACCAGTCCTTTTCAGCCCCTTAATGCCGAGCCCCAGGCAGGGTAACAACAAGTACCATCTTTTAACGTCTTTAGGTATGACGCGGCGGGGATCGAACCCCGGACCTTCCGCTGTCCCGGGTGACGCTCTACCACTAGACCACGGAGGCGGTCTTGGTGTTATGTGGGGTGAAATGGGGTTTAACGTCGCGTTCAAGATTATTGCACTTACATAGCGACCTGCATGCAACTGTGTGTGTATGTTTGTGCGTGTGGCTGCATGTACGAAAACCGGTTTTCAGTTCTACCCCAGTGAGATACCATGCCGCAGTTTAACATGGATATCCCACTCAGACACAGTATACTAACTCAGAAGTCACCAGTAATTGTTTTATCCCCTTTAATGCCGAGCGTCAGACAGGATAATAACAAGTGCCATCTTTTAACGTCCATTGGTACTGCGTCGGGGGTCGAACCATTGAACTTCCGCTCTCTCGGCAGAAATTCACTAGACCATGAAGGCGATCTGTAGGAATAGTGAGTGAGTGAGTTGGGTTTAGCGCCGCTTTTAACATTATTCCAGTTATATCACGGCGTGTCGGCTTAATGTGGGAGGAAAGCCCGAAGTGATGCAGGTCTCAGACGTTTACCACTTCCGTGAAACCCACGAGCACGGGTATGGTGCTGACAAACCTAGAAACATAATCGGGGTGAAAGGGGATTCGAACCCACAATCATAGGTTTCCGGCGTGCTTAAGGGACACAACTCTGCACAGCGAATCGCGGCGCCTTAGACGACTGGGCCACCCGCATTGTCAAGTGTACCGTCATCTCCGGTCTAGTAGGGTACATTTTTAAGATCCATACCACAAAAGCTTAGCTTCGGAAGTGACGTCACAAAGCCGATCTCACTTATCATTATTTTGGCAAAGAATGTCTATCACTGAATGATGCAATTTGAATGATTGGCAATGTTTGGCGTTATGGCATTCGAAACCTAGGAAAACTCTAAGATCTAAAATTCGATCCCATGACCAATACATGCAGCACATCTGATTGCGCCACGTTGGACCTTTGCCCCTTTTGACCACCTTTGCCCCATCAAATAAGGGCGACAGGTGAAGTTATTTCCTTGTATTAATCAAAACATACGAATGTACGTGTTATCATTATAGGGTCACTAGAAAAGCGTGGTGCTCAGGCTTTTTGATTTGGGTGATTGCATATCATCGTACTCCGTTGTTCATAATATCAATCCCTGGTTTGCCCAGTTTAAAGGCCGACGTCATATAGCTGGATGACTATTGCTGAATGGGGCGTTAAACAAGAGATTAGTACCATTTCGAAAATATTTCAACAACAGTCGCTTATAATAATCTATACTACTGCTTGAACCTAATGTTCGGTCAAGAGCGGTTGCGTAGCTTAGTGGTTAATGCGTTCGTTCGTCACTCCCAAGGCCCGGGTTCGATTCCCGATATTGGTACATTGTTGATGTTCCCCGTCATGATATTGCTAAAATATTGCTAAATGCGGCGTAAAACTATACTCCGTCACTAATGTTCCGTCGTTCGACGGAATACAACTGCTAAAAGCCCGTAGCGTAACTCAGTTCGTTGCTATAGTTACTATTAAAGGATGGGAAAGCTTTATCGGGACAGTATCATGCCACATACCTGGGTACTGTTCCCAAAATAGGCATATGTGACATACGGTTTTGAGGTATCCAGGCGTAAGTTTGGTCTATGATTTTGGATGTACCAACCAAATACCTGGGTACCATTTTTACAATAGGCATATGTGACATACGGTTTTGAGGTATCCAGCCGTGAGTTTTGTGGATGGATTGGGATGTCCCCACCAAATACCTGGGTACTATTCCGAAAACAGGCATATGTGACATACGGTTTTGAGGTATCCAGCCGCGAGTTGAGTGGATGAATTGGGATGTACCCACCAAATACCTGGGTACTATTCCGAAAACAGGCATATGTGACATCCAGTTTTGAGGTATCCATCCGCGATTTTTGTGGATGAATTGGGATGTACCCACCAAATACCTGGGTACTATTCCCAAAACAGGCATATGTGACATCCAGTTTTGAGGTATCCATCCGCGAGTTTGGTGGCTGAATTGGGATGTACCCACCAAATACCTGGGTACTATTAAATAAATAAACATATGTGACTTCCAATTTTGAGGTCTCCAGCTGTGATTTTGGTTTTGGGATGTGCCCACCAAATACTAGGTACTATTAAATAAATGGGCATATGTGACATCCAATTTTGAGGTCTCCAGCTGTGATTTTGGTTTTGGGATGTACCCACCATAAACCACACCAATATATCGGCAACATCAGGACAATGCTTTTCAAATGGAACCAAGGGTAGAATCGAATCTAGATTCTGAATGACAAGCCAACTCTTTAAAGAATATTTTTACATTAAGAATGAGTGAGTGAATTGGGTTTTAAAGCCGCTTTCAACAGTATTCCAGTTATATGGCGGCGTGTCAGCTTAATGTGGGGGGAAAACCCAAAGTGATGCAGGTCTCAGACGTTTACCACTTCGGTGAAACCCACGAGCACGGGTTTGGTTCTGACAAACCGAGAAACATAATCGGGGTGAAAGGGGATTCGAACCCACAATCATAGGTTTCTGGCGTGCCCAAGGGACGCAACTCTGCACAGCGAATCGCGACTGGGCCACCCGTGCCTCCTTTAGATTAAGAAAGTATTACATTCTGTCAAACTGAGAGCTATTTTAATGTTCCAGGGCTTTGCTTAAAATATTTGTCTGATACCTATATAAAATATGTCTAATGTTAACATTATGAGTAAATATAATTACAGTTCCTGAATTTCGGTGACCCAGTGAAGGCTAACTAATATACGGTTTTATCAAACTAATGTTTAGAACGTATGCCATCACATTTAATGGACGACTGAATAATTTGACGCGTTTCTGAACAGATAATTAATGCTACAACATTAAAAGGCCCGTTCATCCAGCTGGTTGAACCGATGGAAAAAAGCCAACATTAGGGCATGTTACAGAGACGCTTCACCATCCTCACGGCAGGATATACGTTATTACCGCCGCGCAATGTTTCTCTTTATTGATGAATTTACTTAAATCCTATCTAATTACGCAGAGTGTGCACACCAACCTTTACGTTTATAACGCCATAAATGCATATGTACATTA